TGATTTTGCTGACGTTTCGGATGGAGGAAAGGGGCATAGTCAGGGGACTGATGAGGTCTTCCAACTGCTGCAATCTCCCATAAAGCATCCAAAGAATGCAGCTCTGCTGATACCTTCCTTTTGGCCACAGGAAATTCACATCTGAGCTACAGAATGCTAACAAAATGCGTTTGTGTTGTTCTAAACCAGAAAGTGGGTAGTGCTTTCTTACAGTAGTAACGGGAAATGAACACTGCAACAATTCAATTGTTCCCTAAGTGTGTATGCTGCCCCTCCATTAAGAGATGGAACTTATTCCACTAGCTCTGGAGACCAACTGAGGACAATGGAACTTTGAAGTAGTGCCTTACGGGACCTGGCCCCCAAGCATCAGGTTTGGAGGTAAGAAGTCCACACTACTTTGCTGAAGAAAGGTCTTCATCCTGGAGAGGCCCTGAAACAAAATGACAACACCATATAGAGCTCACACACAAGAGAACCCAGGTGCCAACCACACAGTTCCAGCCCTAGTCCCAGGGCCTGCTGTTTGAATCCACTATGCTTTGGGCAGTATGCTACCCAACAATAGATCATTGGATCATTATCCACTAATAAACACAAAAAGCACACAGCACATTATGTATGTTGAATCACAAGTATAAAGCCTATTTAAATAGACCTTCCCAAGGGAAAGTAATTTTCATTTAGAAAACTAGCACATTCATGTCATGCTAGACCCACTATCAAAGCATTGCCATCTTAACATGAAGTCATCCAGGATCAGGGAATGTCATTCCATGTACGTAAGCCCCATTTATTTTCTTTCAAAAATGATTTGTGTGTATGTGTATATATATGTGTGTGTATATATATATATATACACATACATACATTCACTTATTAAGCTCATTCGTGAGTATGTTATTCATGCTTATGTTGCTGTACATTAAATTGTTTTAATTTAGCTCCCTGGTTAGTCATTGCTTATGTTTAGAATTAATCTATTTTTGTATACTAATCTTATAGCAACAACCTTGATTAACTCATTACTAGATCTAATATTTAACAGGGTTTTTTTTTTTTTAGGGAATGACTCAGAATTATCTCTATATAAGATAATTTCACCTGCATATGCAGAACATTCTATTTCTTCCTTTCTTTTCCATTGTGGATGCTTTTTATTCCATCTTCCTCAAACAGTACAATACTGATTAAGAAGTCCAGAGAGTAGACATCCTAGTCTGTTCCTGATCTTAGGAGATAATTAACCAATTATTCAACATTAACTATGATATTAGCTGTGGACTGCTCATAATTGCTCTTTATCTAGTTGATGAAATCTCCACTATTTCTAGTTTATTGATTTTTTTGTCATAACAGGGTGTTGAATTTCATCAAATGCTTGTTCTGGCTCTACTGATATGATTATGTGGTCTTTGGTCTTTATTGCTATGGTATATACATCAGTTGAATCTTGAACATTAAACTTTCATTCTTAAGATAAATAATATCTGATCAAAGTATATGATCTTTCACATGTGTTTCTGGATTTTGTTGAGGCTTTCTCTGACTACTGGTATGATACTGGACTATTGTTTTCCTTTGTCTCTTAGTCTGGTATTGGGATTTAGGTAATACTGCCTTACAGAATGAACTGGTAAACATGCCCACTTATTATTTTTTTTAACACTTTGTGAAGAAATGTGATACAGTAGATAAAACTCCCATCTGCAGTACCAAGTCCCAGTATGTGTGCCAGTTCAAACCTTGGCTGCTCCATTCAACTCTAGCTCCCTGTCAATGGCCTGGGAAGGCAGAAGAAGAAGGCCCAGATTAAGCTTTTTGCTTTTTTTTACGATTTATTTATTTTAATTGGAAAAGCAGATTTACAGAGAAGGACAGATCTCCCAGTCACTGGTTCATTCCCCAAGTGGCCACAACAATTAGAGCCGAGCTGATCTAAAGCAAGGAGACAGGAGCATCTTCCGGGTCTCCCACAGGGATGCAGAGTTCCAAGGCTTTAGGCCATCCTCCACTGCTTTCCCAGGCCACAAGCAGGAAGCTGGATGGGAAGTAGTAGAGCGGCTGGGACACAAGCTAGCACCAATATGGGATCCCAGCACTCATAAGGTAAGGATTTAGCATCTGGGCTATCGTGCTAGGCCCTGAATCCTGGCTTTGCCTGGACCCACTCCAGCTGTTGCTACAATTTGGAGAATGTACTGGTAGATGACTGATATGTCTCTGTGTGTCTCTCTCTGCATAACTTTTCAAGTAAATAAATAAATAAATCTATTAAAAAATATTTGGTAAAATTCAATCTCACCAATGGATCTTGAGCTTTCCTTTGTGGGAAGCTTTGTGATTACTTTTAGTCTCTTTATTTCTTGTAGGTCATTCAGATTTTCCACTTTAACTTTGGTTCATTTCTCACTGCTGTGACAGAATACCATAGACTGAATATTTTATAAGCAAAATAAGCTAATTTGTTTCCTGGGGAAATTGAAGACAGAGGGGCTGATGATGGCCGTATAGCTTCACCATCTCATGGCAGAAGGGCAAAGACAGGGGGAGAGAGCCAGAGAGGGAACTCATAGTCCAAGTTCAAAGCCTTGTGATAGTTAATTTTCTAACACCTGATTAGGGAGACACATTCAAATGGAACACCCTCTGAGACTTAAGATGGGATAATAGTGTAGACTTCAGTGATTTTACGAGCTGATAAAACTGCTTCAAACACTAAACTGATGGCAGTCATAAGTTCTTGGAGAGCAGAAATTAACAAATGCATGGATGGCTCCTGCACAGATCTGACCATGGAAGGAAGAAGGGAATGAGTTGAGGAAATAAACAGCAATGCCTGGGCCCTGCAGGTAGCCTGATATAAACTAAGGCATGCCGTATGCCAGGTCTCCCAGAGTGCTTAGCCCAGCAGTTAAGATGCCCACATCCCGGACTGAAGTGCCTAGATGGTGATTCTCAGCTGTAGCTTCTGAATCCAGCCTCCTGCAGATGCAGACCATGGGAGGCAGCAGTAACAGCTCTAGCAATTGCTTCCCTGCCATCCACCTGGGAGACCTGAACAGGGTTCACAGCTCCTGGCTCCAAGCCCCATCTCCAGTCCAATCCTAGCCATTGTAGGCCTCTGGAAAATAAATCAGCGTGGAAGAGATCTCTTTCTTTTTTTTCTCAAAAATTAAAAAAAAAAAAGAAAACAACCAGAATATCCATTATCCAGAGAAACAGAAACAGGAAGTATCATATCAATCATTCAAGCTAATCTTTCTGATTTAACAGATGGCAGACTTGACCCTGAGAGAGGCCCCGTTACTGCCCAGGATTGCTGATGGCAGAGTAAGCAGGGATCTGACCAACAACTAGAAGCTCTGTGTAGTCGCAGTTTAGCCTATATATAAAATATATATATATTTTTTCCACTGACATCTTCATAATGGCACTTGAGTTGGGTGGAGAAGTATTAGAATTCCTATTTTTCAACCTGAGATTGGGTGACTTGTCCAAGAATGGACTCAGATCCAGATAGTCATACACCAGTGTACTTCTATTTTCCTGTACCGTAATGCCAAGAACAAGCTCGCAAAGTTACATACCACGTAACAGTCTTGGTCAAGAGCAGACTGCACACCCAAGGGTGATCTCATACAATGATACCACCTAGTAATGCTGTGACCATCTTAGTTTGTAGAAGTAAAACTGCAATATTTACACAACAAAATTACCAAGGATGGTCCTCTCAGAACCTACGCTGCTCATTAAGTGACATGTGACTTTTCACAGCAGCATTCCACAGATGTCGAGTTCCAAATCCTGGGTTGTCTATCAGCAGTTCCTTTTCTGACTGCACCCTGCTGCCAGCAGTATTTTATACTCTTACTTGCCTGATCCTGATTCTACGGACATTTGATTATAAAAATTCGATGGTCATACTTGGCCCCAGCAAGTTTTTTTTTTTTAACTGAATCCACAAAGTTTGGTCCCCTCTCTTCTTAAGCATCTTATGAAGTGTATCTCCACAAGAAGAACTTCAGGACTAAAGCAAGTCAAGCGAACTAAAGCCTGCGGATGGCAACGCTGGCTCACTCCCTGAAGAAACATTCAACACATACACACCTAGAAGATAGTTTAAATGAGTGTGTGGACTGTGGGGCAAATGCTTCCTCCAGGTTTTGATCAGTACAAACTCATGCATTCACGGAAGGGTCTCAAGGTAATGTACGCAACAGAGAAAATCATTGGGACACTTCCAGTCACCACACAGAAAAGGTTCTGAATGTGCATGTGAATGTGTGTCTGGGAGAGACCCAGGGGGACAGCGGGGGAGGAAAACACTGAGAGAAGCAACTGGTTCCTCTTTGGATAGCTCCTCTCTTTCAGCACGCACAACCTGTGCTGACTTCAGGAGTGTGTTTGCTCCCCGCTTCCAGTGCATGGAAGAGCATTACAATGACTCGGGTCTCCTCGGGGATTGGAGGGGAGGGGGACGAGGCTTCCAGTCAGGGACCCCCAGTGCTATGCAGACCCGTAAAGGCACACAGTCACTGCCCAGGGGCCTGACCACACAGCCTTGTGATGTAGCCTGCCCTCTCTCCACAGCACCGGCCAAGTCACAAGCCTCCTGAGGTCTGGCGGTTGTTTATGCTGGAAAGCACTGGCATATGTTCCCCTTGTGTCCCTTCTTTCTCTTCATCTATTAAACCCAAGAACAACATCCCACCCGCTCCCTACCATCAACAGCCCAGCAACCCTCAGGGTGGGGCAGGTCTGCCTGGTGGACCACCTGGTGAAAGCTGCCTCACACTCCTCGCCCCAACCCTGCTGGGTCGGCCACGCAGGTGCCTGCTACCATGCACGCCACGCAGGACAGGAGGTAGGGCGGTCTTCCCAGGGAAGATGCCACAGTCGGGCTGCGGGCGAGGACAGGAGCGAGACGCCCAGAGACTACGCCCCCACCCACTCTCTGTTCACAATATGCAAAGAGATGAATAAAAAGCTTCATTTACCGACATGCGTGATCACTGTGGCCAGTCGCCGGGTGAGTTCCTGAGGTGCCATTTCTTCTTTCAGCCAAAACAGCATTTCACTGAAAAACCCACCCTCTTGGTAGCCAAACAAAGCCAAACGACGCTGTTTGCACCGTGGCTGTGGATGATACTGTCACGGCATCTCCGCCAGAAGATGTTCTGCCCTCCTCACCCAGGTCCTCTCAGTCGTCAGGCGCAAGGGTCACTCGCAGCCGAGACCAGCGCTCCTAGGGCCCTCCCGAGAACGCGGCCACGCCCGGCAGGCGGCTTCCCAAAGGCCACCACCGGCATTGAGAGGGCGACGGCAAAGCAACGGGCTCTCGGGTTAGGGGTGCACCGCGGATTCTGGACGTACGGGCCCGAGCTGCCTAGTCTCGGGCGCCGCCCCCAGGGAGACTGGGGAGGCAGGATGTTCCGCCGGGGCCCAGCGGAGGTTCCGAACTGCGTGCGAGAAGAAGGCGGGCGCAGGCGGCCCTGGCTCTTCCGCGCCGCCCACCGCCCTCCCACTTCGGCGCCCACTGCTCCTTATGCGCGTGCCCGCGGCGCCCTGGGCGCCAGGTGAGGAGTGCACGCGCCTGAGTACGGTCGTGTTCGGGGCCTGGCACGCTTCTCGGGGTCTCCTGGAGCAGGGAAGAGAACAGCCCGACGTGGGTGCTTCCTGCGGCAGAGAGGTTGGGTTCCCAGCCGCTTGCTTTCCGGGCTTCAGCGGCCCCTCCTCCTACCCCGCCCGTTCGTGGTCTAAAGAGAAGCCTAGGCGCGAGGGGACTGGTCGCACAGCAGGTGCAGAAGAAAGCGGCGCGAAGCCCCGCCGCGTGTTTTTCCGAGGAGAGTGTCACCCGCAGTTATCAGTCTCCACTCGGAATCTGGGATTCCGGGCAAGCGTGTGCGCCCTCAAGTCTGCGCCCTGTGCGATTTTTCCTTTGTGCGGCGGCTCCCTTGCATCCTCGCCCCGCGTCTGTCACCTCTCAGGAACGCCTGGGCTTCCTTCCACAGGAAAGGCTCTGGCGCGCAGCCTCCTGGCCCGCCCTTGTTCTGAACAACTCCAGGAACAGCTTCTCAGCAGGCCTGTCTGGTGGCTTCTTGAGCAAATCCAGACACCTGGAAAGTAGTACTAGACTAACCCCATGGGGAAAAGCCTGAGCAGATGCCAATCTGGTCACAGTAGGTAGAATTCTACAGTATCGATCTGTGGCAGGATCACCCACAGGTTCTGAGCTAAAGCCGGGATTCTCTGACATGTGTAATGAGCCCAGCTCCCAACACCCTAGATGCAAGTCCTAGGAGTTTCCACTCACCTCAGGGGACCGGGGACATTGAGAAATGCTTTCTGTACCAGCAGTAATGGGGTGTAGTTAAGAGGTGATGTTAGTCCACCTGCAACAGATTTGTAAGCAGACTCCTCGTTCCTCTGCTTGTCTTTCCTCCTCTGCTTTTCAAACAATAAATGAATAAATAAATCAGAAACAAAGAAGAAAGGGAAGGGAGAGGAAGGGAGGGACAAGAACTTCTTGCAAAGAAATCGCAGAAAAGAGGCCTGCATGGTGGCTTAGCATACTAATCCTCCACCAACAGCCCTGGCATCCCATTTGGTTCATTGTTCATGTCCTGGCTACTCTACTTACAGCCTGGGAAGCAGTGGTGGGGGGACAAGCTGAGGCAAGGAGGTCTAGATCCACTTACAAGACCTGGTGACCTCAGATTCTTGATGAGGCCAGGTCTTCAGACACAAGAATCATGAAAAGATGAGAGAGGAGTAGAGGAGAGGAAATTGGACAAAGGAGAAGCTGATTAATTAGAATGGGAAATAAAAGAAACAGTTGGAAATAACATTACAAAGTGCTGCCTTTCTTCTCCACATCTGTACTTTCATAATCTTCAAAGGTTTCCATGGAGACAAACTGGCTCAGTTCATGTTAAGATGTAGCAGACAGTGTCTATCCTCGGAAACTAATTCTGTCCCCAACTCTAACACTTGCAGACTCAGGGATTTGACTGTTTCACTTGGCTGCTGAGGAGGTGGATTTCCAAGCTCCACTTTCCTGCTTTGAAATCCCATTACTGTGACTAGAGAGAATTGACTGCATGCCCTTCAATATCTCAACTCTCCTGTCTTTCGAAGAAAACAGTCATTGTCTCTACCACTCTAGGAATATTGACCTCTTTCCTGTCTTAGCTCCTTGCTGCCCATGCCCCCTCCCTTGTCTCCTTTTCTACTTCCTAATTTCATTCTCTTTCCTGTCTTCTTGGCTAACAAAATCAGAGGAACAGCCTGCCTTCCTCTGCAGTGAATCAGGTAGCAGCCATCGCTGTTACATATCAGTTATGCTTGTGATGAGCAGTGTCAGATACAGCACTATCACCACCATACAGCAAGTCTCGACTGGTACATAGGTCTATGGAACAGAAGAGAGTCCAGAAGTCAGTCCTCATACATGCCACCAACTATTTTTTGACAAATGTGCCCAGAACATAACACGAGAGAGATTATCATGTTTGTAATAAATTATACTGGCAAAACTGAAGATACATATGCAGAAGAGTGAAATTAAAGTTCTACTTCTCACTATATTAAAAAAATCAACTTTAGATGAATCAAAAATCTAAATACAAGACCTGAAACTATGAAATTTCTGGCAGAAAGCTTAGGACACTTCAAGACATCGATGTAGGAAAAGACTTCTTAGCTAAGATCCCAAAAGTGCAGGCAACAAGAACAAAACTAAACAAATGGAATTATATCAAACTCAGAAGCTTCTGCACAGCAAAGGAAACACTGAAGAGACATCTAACAGAAGAGGAAAAAGTACAAATCAAAGGATTAATAACCAGAATACATCAGGAACTCAAAAACTCAACAACAAGACCAATCAAGCCAAGATGTGGGTAAAGGATCTGAACAGACAGTTCTCAGAAGAAAAAATACAAATGACAAAAAAATATTAAAAATTTCAAAAAAAATTCTCAGTAATTTTAGGAAAATGAAAATCAACATCACAATGAGATAACACTTCATCCTTCTTGGAGTGGCTATTATAAAAAGGACAAAAAGAGGTGATTGATGGCAAGGATGTGGAGAAGGGAGAACTCATACTGTTGGTGGAAATGTAAACCAGTACTATCACTATGAACGACAGTAAGGCAATTTCTTTAAAAACTAGAATCAAGGGCCCGGCGCGGTGGCGCAGTGGTTAAAGGTCCTCGCCTTGCACACCCGGGATCCCATATGGGCGCCGGTTCTATCCCGGTATCCCCGCTTCCCTTCCAGCTCCCTGCCTGTGGCCCGGGAAAGCAGTTGAGGACGGCCCAAACCTTTGGGACCCTGCACCCCCGTGGGAGACCCGGAAGAGGCTCCTGGCTTCGGATCGGCATAGCATCGGCCGTTGCGCTCACTTGGGGAGTGAATCATCGGACGGAAGATCTTCCTCTCTGTCTCTCCTCTCTGTATATCCGCCTTTCCAATAAAAAAATAATAATAATAAAAATAAATCTTTAAAAAAATTAAAAAAATTTAAAAAAACCTAGAATCAAGATCATCATGTGATCCAGTAATCCCACCACCAGTTATATATTCAAAACCCATGAAATTATTATCAAAGAGACACCACCACTAGAGGAATGGATTGAGAAAATGTGGTATATGTACACAACTATGTTTCAGTCATAAAAAGTGATATCCTGTCATTTGTATAACAATGGATGAAACCAAAGACCATGTTCATGTTCATGAAACCAAGATCATGTTAAGTGAAATTAAGCACAGAAAGACAAATATATGCCCTGAACTCTACCTGGTAATTACTAGAGGCTAGGAGGGGCATAAAGGAGTTGAATTTAAAAAAAAAAAAAAGTAGAGAAATCTGCGTATTATTCATTAATTGAGCCAAATATATTATACTAGTGTAAAATGTTAGTGATAAGGGAGGATGAATGTCATTTACAGATTGTGATAAATATGTAAGATGTTAACAACAAGTGAAAATAGGTGTGGGATGAATGGGAACTCTTTGTTCCCCATACTACCTCCCAGTTTTTATTTTGCAAATTTAAACCTATTCAGAAATAAAAAGTTTAAAAACTCATGTGAAAATTTCAACTCTATAAGAGGTGGAACCACTTGGGGTCTTTAATAGGTGATGCAGGTCACGAGGGCTTTGCTGTCATGAATCCTCTCATGGGCTAATTAGTTAGTTCAGGAATGGGTCTGGCATGTATGCAACAGCCTACACTGACTCAGAACGCTGCAGGGAATCCCCACCAGCAAGAAGGCCTTCACCAGGTGCAGCCTCATGGCCTTGGGCCTCCCAGCTTCCAGAATCTACCAGTCTTTGTTAGACACCAATTAAGCCATTCTGTGAAATGGCAGGACAGCTCTCCATCATCAAATGGAAGGATACATGATCAAGCCTGAGCTCGAAAGGCATACATTAGTCACATGACCCAAAGACCCACGACACCTACTCCTGCTATCCTTCCTTCTCTCTCCCAACCTAAATCTATGCTCTCATGGGGAGTTTCCTACTACTAGCTGACAGGAAGGAAAGACTCAGTCCTGGTTGGCAGATGAAGCACTATTTGAAGGCTCAGTATACAGGTACCATTTAAAAGTGGTCAGGTGCAATAATGATGTCCTTTTCTGGGATATATTAGGGCAATAGTAAAGAGAAATATTCCAAGTGGACAGAACTTCAAGAGTGCCCATAATTATTCACTTTGCTTGAAAGATTAATGGCCAGGTATGTGGTTTATACCAATGCATGAGCTTTGTCTGGTGTTTTGCCTGAATGGCCAGGGACTCAGAAGGTATAAGACTGGGGGGAAAAAAAAAAAACTGGTGACAAGGAAATTGAGGAAATGGCATGGATAAACCTCTCTGGGCACAAAATGTGAAGATGTGTGCGTCCCTTGTACATTCTTACCAAAACATGATCTCAGCAGGGGAGGGTTTTAATTATCAAATACAGAGGATGACCCATTCTGCGGATATTAGTCATCCTGCTTCCTTGGCCACCTCTGTCATTGCCCAGTGGGCTCATGAACCAAGTGGTCATGATGGGA